TGTAGGTGGATCCCCCCCCCATCTCTCACTTACCTGATCTGTAGGCTGCACCTCCCGCCCATCCCTCACTTACCTGATCTGTAGGCTGCCCCCCATCTCTCACTTACCTGATCTGTAGGCTGTCTCTGCAGTCTGTGAGTTGCTGACTGCACTCTGTGCTGCTCCCCTGCGGATTCAGTCAGGAGAGAGAAGCAGGGATAAGATGTAGTTTCCTATCCCTGCCTCTCTCCACACACAGCAACACCTACTGGCCGGCGCAGGTATTGCAGTGTATTCGCAAGCTGAAAATAAAAATAATGGCACAAGCTGAAAAATCTGGGGGGTAAGAGGGGTGGGCAATACACTCACATTGAAAAGAGCTATACCAGCTCTGGCATGGAGGGTGTATAGAGCTATAATCCCCGCTTAGCGGATATGCAGGAGTGGTGCGTCCGTCAATACAGTCTGAGTATCCAAGGCTCCAACAGGTGATAAAAAGACAACAATAGTGCTCTCAATATGATAAAAAAATGAGATATAAAATATATAAAATTATACTCACAAATATAGAGCAGGAATTACTGCTCTATTTTTAAAGCGTTGGTGGAATGATCCCCACCTTGGATTTCTTTGGGTACAGGAAAAGATAGAAGTTTGCCAGGTAGAATAAAATTTTGTATAAAAAACATAAAAAAGTGCATATAAATTACAATAAAAAGAAAGTTGGTGCAACTTAGGTAACCAAAAGACTTTTGTTGCTAAAATACACAATTTAAAACCATAACGCGTTTCACCAAATGTGGCTTCTTCAAATGGAATAAAAACAGGGATCCCCTTCGCTAAGATTGCAGCCTACCTACATATTGTTTGTGAATTAGCGCTTTCCTTTTATTGTTCTTTGTGCATCTTCAATATTGCAGTTATATAGGCCCAGAGGCCCCTCCTCATGGGAAGACTCCCGTTCCTCTCCCCTGTTTAAGCACAAGACCCTCTGGGTTCTGGGCTCAGTTGTTGTGTGGACTCCCTACAGATCACACGCCTGGATCTGCCTTTGTTAACTCCTACAAGCCGGATCTTTACCTTTGTTAACCCTTACCAGCTTGGACTTGCCTTTGTTTAACTCAGTGAGTCTGGACTTTCTATCGCAGGCTAGAGTTCACGGTCCCCCGCCCTCCCCCACTCCCTTCTTACCTTCAGCCTGGGAGAGAAGGGGACCGTGCTACAATATAAAATATAAAAATATAAAATATTATGAATTTTTGTTTTTTATTAAATTTTTAAAAATACATATATATTTAAATCTGCCCCCCCCAACACACACACACAATCCCTCAAACATATTCACACACACACAGCACACTTACATTAACAGCACCCCTCACACAGCACACTCACACACACAGTACCCTCAGACATACACAGCACACTCATACTAACAGCACCCTCACACACACACAGTACACACACATATATAAAATATGGGTTGTCTACTATTGCAAATGGTATGCCATCGTGGGGGTAATTCTCATTCCTGGGCTACCACATGGTCTCAAAGGCAATGTAACCAATCTGACGAATTTCAGTGTAAAAAACTGAAAAATGTAACATGCTATATTTGACCCTGTAACTTCCCAAAATACCATAAAACCTGTACAAGGGGGGGTACTTTTTTTTTACACGTGAGACATTGATAAATACAAATATGTGTATTTTATTGCAGTAAAAGCAAACAGTATTATGACATTCACAGTTAAAATGTCACGTAGAACTAAAAAAAAATGTTTAATTCTTATTTTCTCCAATTTTGTAATATTTTATTCATATTAAATTATGTTTCATACCTAAATATTTGATGTTAAATGAAAGCCCTGTTTCCCCTGAATAAAATGATATATAATAAGTGTGGGTGCACATAATATGAAAGAGGTGAATTACACCTGAACAGACATACAGCGCAAATTCTAGTTTTTGTTTACGTTTTGTTTTGATCACAACGTGTACATTTGGCTCAGTCCTTAAGGGGTTAACTAGTTAAAGTGTTGTATGGAAGAACCAAGCAGTGGAACATTTGAACACTTGTAGGTTGATTTGATAAAGCCTGACACAAAATAAAACTAAACTAGAATTGCATTAAATTTCAGCAAAACAATCCTTGTATTTGAACAAATGACAGCCTAATCTGCTAAAAGTAGTGGATTTGTAATGCACTCCATATGCCACTTGTCATTATCACAGGCAGGATGGGGTATCTATATCCAATCATGGTTGCTAGAAATAGAACAGCCATTTACCCACATTATATAGATGCTGTTTGCTGGTTCTGCAGGGAGAAAAGCCTGAAACTTCATGTATTTCAAAGAGAGAGTTTTGGTGCATTGAGCATATACATATATATGGCATTGTTGGGGAAGCAGCTAATCCTAAAATTCACAAAACTCTCATAGGATTATGGTTGTCGATGATTGGTTTTGACAAGTGTTACCTTTAATATAACCTTTAATTTTACAGTTTCTATCTTCAGGAAAAGTAAACCAGAGGTTCCACCAGCTTGGATGTACTTCAAAACAATCCCACATGGCTGACTTTTTCAACTCATTTACAAATCACCTTCAGGGATGAGAATTGGTCATTACAAACTTTATTTTCTTTGATCCAATATCAATGAACATGTTTGTTTGTTTGTTTGTTTTTAATTATGTAGCAACAAATCATGTATTTGTTTGTCGAAACTCAAATTTTAAACAAATAGTTCTAGTGTTTGCAACAAGAGATCCCCAATGGGAAAATATATCCAGACACAAGCAGGTGAGTAAATGTTCAAGCTTTAGTAATCTGATAACACATGACATGCGCATATTCGTTCTTTTGTGCATACGTCCTAAACTATAACCTTTGAACCCCCCAAAAAGACACGGACACCAATTTAGAGTGGATAAAATGGCACGGCTTTAATAAATTCTATATATAATTAAATATATAAATAACAAAATGGGTAATTGCCAAACATTCCCAATTTTCACATAGACACATAGTAATTGTCAGGACAGCATTGTGGCAGTGCTCAGGGTAGGGGAGTGCTTACATGTACAATGCATGGAATTTAAGCATGCGTGTGATAGACTTAAGGCTATCCTAGATATAAGATAAAGTCAGTATTTAGAAAATTGGGCAGACTAGATGGGCAGACTGGTTCTTATCTGCCGTTGCATTCTATGTTTCGTGCCTACAAGACTCTTCCATGGACACGTCTTCCCAATAACCAGCACAAGTTCTAACAATGCCACCTAACTGAGGCATTCCCCAAAGAAAGTAACCAAAATAGGGAAAAACTGGAGAATATATACTAAGTAGAGAATTACAAAAAAGGAAAAAGAGACAGGAACATCTACTTTTTGGGATGGGTTAGGCTTTCCTAAAACAGTGTATTATTGCCATGCAGGATGTTCTGCAAAATCCGTGCTATTTCACACACCCACGTGAACAGCTAATTAGGTAGATCTGGAAGATTCCTTACAGGGATACGGTAAGCACCAAAACATATTTGAAGGGGTTTTGGTGAATAGACTATGCCCCTGCACTCTCACTGCTCAATTCTCTTCCATTTGGGAGTTAGATTACTTTTCTCATGCAGTCCTGGGTATATGTCTCTTGGCCGTTACAAAGTATGACACCTGTCCCTTGCAGTTTCATGTAATCACGGTAGTGATATCTCTTCTGTGTTTTGATGCACACCCACTCATCCTTAGTTTCCTCGTGCCTCATTATGACATCATACATGACATGGAACCCTTCCATTTGTCTCCTTTTACAATGTCAGTCTATGTTGCACTTTTTGATGATATACACATGATTGTGACATCATGGTCCTCTGTAACCAATCACAACCCAGTATAGGGTGTATATATACTTCCTCATTGTACCAGTTTCCTTGCCCTCTTTGGGTCTTGTTACCTGACAGTGTGTTTATACTGTTGATTGGATTTACTGTTTTCTGACCTTAGGCTTGTTTCACCATTCTTGCTCTCTGGTATTTTGACCTTGGATTGATTATCGATTCTGTGTATCAGTTATTCTAGACTTCGGTCTGTCTTTTGTTTACTCTGTCTGCTTACAGACATTTAGTTTATCTGTTTTAGGCACTAGCCCGGCCACTCTAAGGACCAGATTGTGTTTTTTTACTGTTTCAAACAAACTTTAGGTTTGTTTGTCAGGGTACCTCCATTTCTGACAGACAATTAATCATATGTCTTGAAAGGATACTCCACTGCCCAGATAAAAAATAAAAATAATAGTTAAAAAAAAAAATCAATGTTTAGTAGATATACTCCAAATGAAAACAATCATGTCTTAAATTATGCATGTTTTTCTTTTGGTGTATATCTGAAAATAGCTTGCAAAACTTGCAGTTCTCTTGTCTGCTGTCTTTACAATCCCTGCACAATCTTACAGCATCTTGGATAATACTGGCAGATTTCCTGGGTACGAGGGTAAACAATCACATTTGAAATTGTATAGACAGACTTTCAGGGTGTGTGGGTAGTTACTTAAATTCTCCAGAGGAGTACGTGCATTTTCAGAACACAGGGTGAATAAGAGAGACCTTAAAATAAAAGGACAAGTTGATTGTTTGCCAAAGTTGAAATAAGTGCCGTGCTGTGGGAGTAAACTGGACAATTCTTCATACACATACATATACACATGGCCGGCGCAACCGTTAGGCCAGGGGTCCTGAAACCTTTTCAACAGGGGGCCACTTCACGGTCCCTCAAACACTGTCGGGGGCCAGACTATAAAAGATATGAATGAATTCCTATGCACACTGCACACGCGCGCACGCACGCACAAGGACATAAATACACACACACATACTGACATACATAGATAAACAGACACAGACATACACATATGATGTGGAATCAATCAATTAATTAATTATCTTGTGTATCTGCCCCCGGCCAAATTTAAAAAGATGCGTGCACGCTCCTGAAGTAATTCATACCAGACACAGGTTTCGGGTTAATGAAAAACTTGTGGAATGTTTATTCTGGCGGAACTGCATGCCCCTTATAAACCAAAATTACATCATATGCATTGTCAGAGATAACATGGAATAATACATCTATAATTGGTTAGGTGTTAAGTAGTTCATTTAGTGCCCTTCCTACCGGGTGTGATGTCACTGGTATCTTGGAGGTCTCCCCCAGATTCCAGCGCCATCTTGTTAATGAGGGTGTTAGTCGATGTCAAAGGGAAACTCCCTAGCGGCCATTTTAGGTAAATCACATATAAGGTTGAATAATGCTGATTATGGTTGTGCTGAGTAAATAGGCATTTTATTAATATGAATTGGGTTAATATTTTTGTCCACAACAGTCCCCCCTTAAAATGACTATTTACTGACGCGTACTCACACAAACATGCTCCCATCACTCCATCTAAGGACTGTCCTCCCCTTACTTTCTTTCGGTCTGCTACACGATCAGCTAGACATTCTAAATATATTTTGCATAGCAAAGTGCAGGGGTGAAGGAACTATTACTTACGAGCAATGGCATGTTACAGAGCAATGTTTCGGCGGACAATCAATCTTGAAGGTTCACCAAAAATAATGGCTTCTATTCTGCATAAGCCTCATACCTTTATCTTCCATAACCTGCTATCACTCTTCTCATAAATAACACTGTCTTTAATCGTTATAGATCTAGATATCCTGCAACACCGTTCTTCAATTATCAGATTAATACTAAATAGGACCTTTGTGTGTTATTTTTATTTAACATGATGAGTTTAATCTTATCTATCAGACTTAAGGTACTGTTTGAATGCCATTACAATGTGTACTAACTGCAGATTAACTCTATCTTCACCATATTGTTAAGCTTTCAACAACAATTAAAAAATTAAAAAAATTAATGTTAATAATTGCCATGATGCTGTATAATCTGTATTATCTCACCGTCTTGTACTTGCTATTGTGGCAATACAAGCATGTTTGTTAAACCTAAGCACTGCAAAAATAAAGAATAAAAAAAAAAAATGACTATTTACTAAAGAGACAACTACGAACTGACCCTAACAATGCCCCTACTTGGCTGCAGCTCATCTGTCTGAACAAGCCTCGAACGCTTCACTGCGCAGGTATCCCGTAGTGGCTAACCCACTACATCTCCCGCGTCAGACTACAACCCGTGGAGACAGACGCTGTCCCTATAAAGAAGTAGTTCTCCTTTTGAGGTGGTGGGACTGAAGAGGTGTGTGCGGGGTGTCACAGTCTATATCATCAATATCTTGATGTAGGAATGTAGGTGTGGTGCGGTCAATGGTCTGATCTACAGTCTTTTGTAAGTACCCTTGCACCCAGGGCATCACGCAGCAAACCAGGAAGAGGAGGAGAATCACTACTGTAAGAACTGCCATACCTACTTGAAAGAGAACTCTCTGCCATCCACTCATCATCCCAGCCATCTGTACCAAGAATTGGAGACCCCTGAGTTCTTTTTTAATTCGTCAGAGAGACTTACTAATTTCTCTATGGCCATGGTTACTTTACCATTGGGGCCTGTATTATCTGGAATGAAGGTACAGCATGTCATAGTGTCGGAGTGTATTTTACACACACACCCCTTTTCTGCTAGGATCATGTCTAAGGCCATTCGATTCTGGAATGTCATTTGGGAGGTAGCCTGCAATTGTTCTGCCAAGCCTTGAAGGGCATCTCTAGTATAATTGACAAAACATTGCTGATTATAATAGATATAATTAATCCAGTTAACATTCTTGTTAGCGGTGATGAGTGGGATCAAGGATTCGAATGCTGCCGCAATCTCATCTCTGGCCCTGAACTCGTTTGGTACCCCCCTTGGTACACCTATGGCTTCGATATATATATGTGGGTCGAAACTACCTTGAATAGGGGTTTCTCTTTTTATCATTAAGTACGTGTGTGGGGAATCAAGTGGGCCTTGGTGGTTATCAGAAATTATATGTATAGGCATGATGGCTTTGGTCAGAGTGCATTCTCCCCACCACAGGCCAGTCATTTTAGATCTGAGTTGCATATCACCACATAAATGTCTCCCAAGGACTTGACTTGATTTACCAATAAGGTAGTGGGAGGTGTCCGATAGGTGGCACAGTAGCCGGGAGGGAAACTACCCACAAATTTACCCGTGGCTCCGTGTATAGTGTAGCAATTGTAATTACCTGGATACACAGTGATTCCATCAGGTGGCCTGAGATTTCCTTGAGTTATTGGATATACCTTTTTCCATGATTCACATACTGATGAGTTTGTGGCTGATTGTACATAGAGGCTTAGAAAACACATCTCGACATCGGGAGGTAGATTAAAAGGCACGTACCCAGATGGGGTCTGGCCCTGCCACAGACATAACAGTTAGTTTTATTGTGTGAATTAGCATTATACCTCATCCACTCAAGCCATAGGTTGGTATCTGAAAAACCAGTCTCCACAGCCATAGTGTCCTCGAATGTAGGAACTGCAATTGCCACCATGTCCTTAAGAGTTTTAATGTGTGGTTTCAGAGGGTTAGTGGTCATGTGTGTAGAGTCTACCCAGTCAGGTGATGTAAGCATGTCTTGTAAATAGAAGGTCCCCAACTTGTTATATGAGCCACCTCCTCTCCAGTACATCCCCATTACATACTCTCCAGTATCTCCTGGGGTGGGATGTTCTATGTTTAAGGTGAGTTTCATTGGGGTAGACCCTGTTGGCTTACATAAGGTCATTCTGTGTAGTAAGGGTTTCCAATGTCTGTCCACCCTATCCAAGGCGCTTTGTGGTCTGCGCCTATGTTCCAATCTGCTGCTTTCTAGGTACTACAATGATGTCCCCAATGGTCACCTGCCACACAAATGTATGGGTCCTTTCTATTGGGTATGTCTTTGTATATTGCTGAGTGTTGTGATTGTGGAAAAGTACAAGGAACAATATCACAGTAATCAAAGGTAAAAGTGGCTACATGTGTGTTTGAAGAGTTATACCAGAATGTGTAAACACGATTATGTTTGGTGATAGCAACTTGTTGGGCCTTTAATAGGCCTAGCATCAAAAATAGACACAGGAAGCTCATAGTTTAGCGGGATCTGCTTCCTGTGGATCAGGAACTTTCTTACAGTGCAAGGCGTGTATCCATGTATTCTTCCCAGCCAATTTTACCGAGGTAGACGTGGTCAATAAGACTTGGAATGGACCATCAAACCTTGGCTCAAGAGTGTGCTTTCTCAGGAATTTCTTGACCATAACCCAGTCACCAGGAAGGAGTTTATGTGTGCCTGTATTTGATTCTGGATCTGGAATAGAAGAAAACACCTGTGCATGGATTTTGGTCAAGGCATGAGAGAGTGCAGTTATATAATCTACCATTGCATCTGACTGAATTTGAAGTTGTTGAGGAAAATAACAGCCTAACCTGGGTGCTGTACCAAATAAAATCTCGTAGGGGGATAAGCTAAATCTCCCTCTTGGAGTGTACCTTACACTAAATAGTGCTATGGGAAGACTTTCCGGCCAGGGTAGGTTAGTTTCTTGGGCCATCTTAAGCATTCTGGCTTTCAAAGTGCCATTCATGCGTTCTACCTTACCACTTGGTGATAGGGTGTGTGGAATGCAAGGGTCACCCCCAGTGCTGCCCAGATTTCCTTGGTTAGCAACGCGGTGAAGGATGTTCCCTGGTCACTTTCAATCACCTCAGGAACTTCATATCTGCAGATGATTTCGGTAAGTAAGCACTTTGCTGTGGTCCTCGCAGTGAGATTAGTGACAGGAAAAGCTTCTGGCCATCCTGAAAACATATCCACTATGACCAGTGCATATTCATACCGGCCACTTTTTGGCATTTGGATATGATCAATTTGGATCCTTTGGAAAGGGTACTGTGGCTTGGCCAAATGGTTTGTTGCAACTTTAATTATTTTTCTCGGATTACATCTGGCGCAGATAGTACAGGATCTGCAGTAATTTCTTGTCAAAGTAGTGATTCCGGGTGCCTCAAAATATTTATCAGTCAGGGAGTTCATGAGGTGCTTGGATAAATGGGCTGGTCCGTGGGCCCACTGAACGACAGCTGAGTACATATTCTTGGGTAGACAGAATTTGAGGTTGATTGTGTATACTTCATTCTGGAGGGTTGCCCCTTTATCCTTCCAACTTTGTTTTTCCTGAGGGGTGGCAGCGGCCTGTTGTTCTCTCAGGAACTTGAGATCGGTAGGTAGGGTTTGCATAGTGTAAATAGTTCAGCGGGCACTCTTCTGTCCACTTCCCGACACTGGCGTGCCGCATCTTTAGCAGCCTGATCGGCTAAATAATTGCCACATGCTTCTTCTGAATTCAATCTCCCGTGGGCCTTTACCTTCAGTATGGCCACTTATCAGGGAGCAGTAAGGCATCCATTAATTCGTTGATAGCTGCGCCATGTTTCACCGGAGTACCTGCTGCTGTAAGAAACCCCCTTGTTTTCCAGATTATGCCAAAATCATGCGCTATGCCCAGGGCATACCTTGAGTCTGTATAGATATTAACACGCTTCCCTTCAGACATCTTACATGCTGCTGTAAGGGCTATTAGTTCGGCTTCTTGTGCTGACTTAGATGATGGAATTGAAGATGCTTGGAGTACTCGGTCTTCTGTGGTGACAGCATATCCGGTATGATATTGTCCCTGTACGTCAGCATATCTAGAACCATCCACAAACAGGGTGAAGTCAGGATCTGGCAGAGCAGCCTTGTGCACCGTTGGGAGATGGGTTGCCTCCATTTTCATCTGTTCAAAACAGTCATGAGGGGCATCCGGGTCCTGTTCTGTAGGAGGGATGTCTTCACATATCTCTGTGTGATATCGAGGGTAACCGACTGTTTTGCAATTTATGGTCCTTTTAGTGACCCCCGTCAATGTGAGCTGTTCTTGAGTTGCGGTACTCCATGTTTTGGCCATTGGGCCGAGTTCTTTCCATGAGAGATTTGGAGATTTGGTGAAAGAGACATGAGGAACTGCCACCTCCCAGTGGTGGTATAAATGTGATACCTCCATGGGCAGGTAGACCAAGATAACAATATTTCCTCTCGAGTCACAGAACAGGTCTGTCAGGGTGATGCGTATTTCCAGCAGGCTGAATAATTCTTCTTCATAGTATGGGTCAGGACCTGGGGTATTCCTGAACCACAGGGTGCAATGTAAGTTGCCCTCAGGTTGTTCATCATGTGGAACCATGGGCTTTTTCACTTGAAGTTCCATATGAACATCAGGATTTATGTCCAGACTGTACCAGTATTGTGGTACTCCCCACTTGGGAAGTGGCAGAAGAGTGGCAGGGTTCAAAGAGTAACATCTTTGTAGAGTGACGTTATCAGGCAAGAGGAGGGAGGTTTGAAGGCGGAGCTGTCTCTGGGAGGAGAGATGTTTCGGTTGGAATTGATTCAGGATGGCCGTGATATCATGGGGAGCAAGGACAGTGAGTTTATGTCCGAGAACAAAGTCATTAGTTTTGTCCAGCAGGGCACTGGCAGCAAAAACAGCACGTAAACAAGAAGGACCGCCTCGAGCCACGCGGTCCAGCATGCATGAAAAATAACCAATAGGGCGTTGACGGGAACCATGTGATTGTGTATGGACTCCTGAAGCATGGCCAATCTTTTCAGAGACAAAAAGTTTGAATGGTTGCTGATAGTTAGGTAGGCCCAAAGCAGGGGCAGAGGAGATGGCCCTTTGAAGGGCATAGTAGCAGGAGCGAGCTGTTAAAGACAATGAAAATGGTTCAGTCTTCAAGGCATCATAGAGAGGTTGCATGAGCTGAGAAGCCTCAGTGATCCAAGACCTGCAGTATGTGATGAGGCCCAAGAAAGCATGAAGAGCTTGATGAGTAGACGGAAGAGAGAGATTTGTAATAGCAAGTACTCTGTTCTTTATTAGGTGACGGGTGCCATGGGAAAGGCAATGTCCCAAGAAGACCACAGAGGGCCGGCACCACTGAAGTTTCGTTCTGGAGGCTTTACAT